CGAGTTTAAGACTTAGAATCCAAGATTAAGAATTGCTAAGGATACAAATCTCTACAATAAAGGAATCTCTTTTTAAACTACACATATTAAAAATTCTTCAACGTGTCAATTGTGTTTATCGTGTTTATAAGTTGTTAAAGTTATTTTACTCGTCTAAAGTATAAACCTAAGGTTGATTGTGATAGGACTTATTTCATAGTAACTTAGTAGTTTCTCGCACGTTACTCCCTGTTATTAAGTTATAGTTGCCTAAATTTGACAATTAAGCATAGGGTTAATAACATCAACAGTTCAATAAGAAGGTTAATAATATTATTAAAAGGTAGCTCTGATGGAATACGATTAATTTATGTACTAAAGAAGATCATTTGAGTAATATGAATAATCTCTATAAATGATTGTCTGAGTTGATTTTTTAACATATGAGATTATTTAGACACTATTTGGATTTTAAAGGCAACTTCTTAGAGGATGCTAATAATGTAACACCCAGATTTAGCAATTTGCATACTGAGTGAACATTCAGTGCATTTAATAAGCTAACAGACATTATTGTTATAGTTCAAATAAGTAAAATATTGGCAAATAAGATGATTACTATGTAAGACATCAACTATAATTTTTCCAAAAATAGAGCCGTTAAGTATTAGGATCTATGATGATATTATTTTTTTCTTTTGGTTATTTAAAGTAGGCATATGAGAGATAAATTTGTAATATAATAAGAGGAAAGCTAGTCTATATTCAGGTTTGAGTGTTCTATATATATGACTATCTAATATAAGGTTATTTAGTTTATAAAAGAAATTAGACAAATCAAATCTATTTGTGTAATGATCAAAATCTCTGAGAAGAAACTTAAACACAATAATTAAATGATAGCCTAAAAAAGAAATTAGTTGATCTAAAAAATATAAATTATGGTTAGTAAGGATCCTATTATATTTGGTTAGGAGACTGTTAGAAAGGATTTTGGAGATGGGTTAAGTGTCTCCTGCAATTCTATTCATAAGAAGAGAGGAGACGTTGAAGAAGAGTTTTGAAGATGTAGAATTGATGAGTGAAAGGGAGGCACTGATTAAATTTTTATAGGAAAGTTTGTTAAAGGAATGTGATCAATAATCTAAAGGAGATGTAGTAAGAACATTATGTGATTGTAATTGAAAAAGTCGAATTAAAGAGATGTTCTTATAAAGGGAGAAATTATTAAATTAGTAAATGAAGGCAGTTGAAAGAGATTTAATTTGAAGTGACCAGAGATCATTTAAATTATAAAATTATTTAAAATTTAATAGGGTATTAGGAAGGGTAAAAGTGAAATCATTTTAGAGAGATCATTTTGTAGGTTATCACAATGCTTATCTATGAAGGATTTGATAGCAGATTCTTTTAGTTTCTGTACATCGATCTTAACTAATACTGTTAGAGACTTGTAGAGGTTTTTAATCTTTGTTTTGACGTTAATGATATTATTTGCACACAAAGAGAAGGAAAATGAACATGCTAGGAGTTTTGATGTAGTAATTAAATTTTCTATTGTATTCTTGATAGTAGACCACTCTTAAGTGTTAAGCTAGCAATTCAATTACATTCTTGAATCCTTAAAATTGAGCAGGAACGAGCTAACTTTTTAGGCAGCTGTGAGGAATGCGAGTTGATCGAAAGGTTATTTACCATATTTTTGTGATGAAATTCAAACTTGAGGTATACAGTAGCAGTCATAAGTATCTGACTGCCTGAGATCATTCAAAATTATTATATAATTGCATTTATAATAACATTTAGCATCAGTAGAGTAATATTAAAGTTCATTATTAAACGCAAATGCCTATTTAACAGTATTATTGAAATTTACTTCTATTTCAAAATAAAAAATTGCGAAGGGCTACAGTTTATAATTATTTGAACGTGAGATGTAAAGAGCTTTTACTTTAGTAGCTAGAGTGATGTCTTGTAAGTCTCTAGTTGAAGTGTTAAAGGGTAGGTTAGTGAATTTCATTCTGAATTAATTATATTGTTAAACCTATTTTGGAATCAAACTAGCTGAATAAATCTGAACGCAATCGTTGTAGATAAAACATGACCATTGAGTATGAAAAAGATCAATACTTTAGGATCTTCATAGGTGATATAAGCTTATTGTTAGAAGTCTCTGGTAAATATCTACATGGTAACTATCTTGCTATATTTAACAAATATATTGGTAAGTTGATCTTTTTTGAGGCTAAAGTAAATATCTATGAAATAGAATATGCGTTGGTAGAATTGCATAAATTGCATAACATTCTAGCTGATTGATATTCAAATTGGAGAATTTTGCATTAAGAGCTGAATTTATTGATTGCTGATCATTAAAGTAGATCACGATTGACTGAACAAGATTAACGTAATGAACATTAATCTCCTTAAATGTATCATCAGTAGCAAAATAAGTATTAATAATTTTTGAAATAGTTGCGGTGAGGAGTTTTTGGTAATGGTAGTCACATAAGCAAATGGGTTGAACGAGTAATATTGGTGAAAACTTTGTTTTGATCTATTTTCATATTAGCATTATCTTTTATAAGAAGATATTCATCCTTGTCTAAGACGTTGGTAAGAATAGGAGTTAGCGGTTTGAAAAAGTTTTTGATAAGAGTTACATCTGAAACTGAGGATAGGTCGAGTTGTTCTTTAGAGCTAGAAGTTGAAGCACCTAGTGGTTTAGAAGTTTGTTGGTATTTCATTAGGTTAAAACAATGCATATTTTTCCTTGAAGTTTGTTTGTTTTAGTTTTTTAACTATATTGAATAAAAGTAACTTTTAAAATAAACTCTTCCTTGATGATAAAAGTGTGTTTGAACTTGTGTAGAACTATAAAACTAACTAACAGAATCATAAATATAAAAAAATTTAAAAGCGAACATTTTATTTTCTTAGACTTTTACGAAAAGTGATCAATAGGAAAAAGTTCTATATTTTCTTTAAATGATGTTTCAAAAAAGTCAAGAAAAAAAAATAAACAGTAATATTATACATATAAGTCATTATATTATAATTCCTAAAATTACTTTTTAAAAAATAAGGATTTAGATAAAAAAATTATTTAGTTTGTCTTATTTATTATGTATAAATACTTTATTACAAAAATTGAATAAATTGAATAAATTGATAAAATAAATTGTAAAATCATGAAATTATATAAAAAGGATATTAATATTCCTCTAGTATTAAGAAATTTCTTTATTAAAATATAAAATAATTAAATTTTAATAATAAATTACAAATAAAAAAGAAATTTGAATTATTATAAACAAATTTTTTTATAATTTTTTAAATATTAATTTGTTAAAAATGCATATATATATTGAAGATTATTAAATAATGTAATTATCTTATTTATATATAAAATATAAAAAAATAATTAATTTAGAAAATGATTATGTTATTTATTATTTGATATTAAAATAATTCAAAAGAAAATAAATTATATTTTATTTTTATTATTATTATTTTTTTTATTTTTGCTTATATTTTTTAATAAAAAATTATTCAATGAGTTTTAAAATATATTTTAATATTTTATGAATTTTATATTAGATTTTATTATTAATAAAAATTTAATATTTAATGAAATTAAAATAAAAGTATATTGATTTATATGCTTATTTAACTGAATTAATGCCAAATTTAATACTGATTTACAGTTGAACTTATATTTCAAATTGATGTTAAATTGAAGTCAATTTTATAATTGAATTTAAGTTCTAATTGATGCTATATTATTTTATTTGATTAGAATTAATTTAGATTAATCAAAAATATATAATTCAACTATAAATATTATCAAAATTAATCTAAATTTTGTCATTTAATTTTTAATTGATTTAAACTATTTTAATCAATATATTATATATAAAATATTAAATAATATTAGTAATTAATATTAAATTTGACACTTTTTAAATTTATTGATATTAAGTAATAAATAATTTTTTTTAAATTTAGTTTAGATAATATTTTAATTACAATATTTATAATTAAATAAAAATAAACCTTAAATATTTTTATTTTAAGATTATAAAGAATTTAAAAAATTTTATTCAAAATATTATAAATATAAAAATAATTAATTTTATTAAAAAAGTATTGATAATTTGAATAACCATTTTTTAATTAAAAAAATTAAGTTTTTAATAAAATAATTACTATTTAAAAATAATACTATTTATAATGATTTATTTTATTTTGAAATCATGTAATTTATTTTAGCTATAATAATCAGTGATCATTTCAAATCAGATGGATGATCATTAATTGAAAATTTGTGTAATTATAAATGATAAGATATTCATATTAACGAAACTTGAATTTTCTTAAGAAATATATCTACAAACCTTATGAATTTTTGTTCTTTAAACTTTCAACTATACTTTAGTCCTTTTTTTTATAAATATAATACTTGTATGAAAAACTTATATTAAAGCAACTTTTCCTACTTTTTTAACTATAACCCTAGATACAAATTTATATAAAGACTGAATATTATTTTAAATATCTAAATAGATATATTTTTTTATACGTAATCAAAGTACTTATTTCAAAAAATGTAGTTAAAATAATAAGTTTTATAACAAATGAGCAATTTTTATTTATTAATTAATAACCTACACTATCTTTATAAAGATTACACTAAGGAAATTAATAAATTTGGAATTTATTTTGCATTTTATTTATTTTTGTGATAATTCTACCACTCTTGCACTTTTTACTGTCTAAATCTCTGACAATTGCTCACAAATAAAAGCAATGGCATTATCTGAAAATTTATTTTTGTATACTTTTAATATAAAAAGTATTGCTATTTCATCTTCAGTGATTCAATGTTTAATACCTGTTTTCTTTGTTTCAGTTGTGACTTAATTGAATCAGGTGGGCAGTTTGTTAATAGTTCATTTACTGATAGTTATACTTTATTTGATGGATGCATTTGTATGAGTGTATAATTTTGAAATAATTAGTATAACAAGAGATCATCTATTCCAAATATCATCACAAAGTTATTTACGAATTTCTATAAACTTTCTTTGCGTAAATTAACAGTCTGTTTACTATATGAAACTGAATGATCATTAAGGTATTTACTCATTAATAAATCTATTCTTTCTTTCTCATTCTGAAAAGTTTTAACTTGATTATTAAGGTTTATTTCATCAATAATATTTCCACTAATATTTTGCTTAATGAATCTCACACCAAAGGTTTTTAGTGTTTTGTCAAAGCCAAAATATACATAACAGTCTTTATTAAGAATTTTAAAAACACTACAATAATGTAACTTCTCTTCTAATTTTAAATGAGCTGCTATAGTAGAAAAAAAGTAAGCTATTGCAGTTATGTAATTAGACTTTGTGGTATTTGCATATAGTGATTCTGCAGCTGATAAAGAGCTTCACTGTAAATTAAAATTACTAATACACATTCACATCTGATGTGCTTTTCATATTCCGACCTACTTATAATACATATATCAGATCTAGTATATCAACATTATTTTTAAATTAATTTTTTAATAAATGTTTTTATTTTAATTTTCAAAATTTTTACAAAAATTGCATGATTTTATTTTACATAATTTATATATCTGATATAATTAAATAACTGATAAAGATAATTTTAAAAAAATGCTATTCTAATAGAACTTTTTTAATAAAATACATTCCTTAAGACAAATATTTGTGTCATTTTCTCCATTCATTATTTCAGAGAATGATCAATTACTACTTAAAATTTGTCTAAAAAATGAATACCAAGTTATGATACCAAGTTTAGCAATTCATAACTTAAAAATAAATCTAATAAAACTGAGTAAAAATCCTTAGAAGTGTACTATTGTCTAAGTAAAGATTATAAATTTGGCTATTTTTCTTGACATTTAATCAATCAGTGAAAAATTACTTTATTTGCTACAATGTTTAAGAAAGAATGATTTTTCAATTCAAAATCTTTTTTATATGCTTCAGCAACACATAAAATTTTCTCATCTGAGTTTAGGTTAGCATCTGATTGTAAAATTACAATATTAGGGAATAGATCAAGGTATTCATGATCTATTCTGGTAAGTATAATATGTTTAACAACTTCTGCATCAAAATCTATTCTATAATTTAATTCATCATTAATTTTCTTAAAATCCAGCAATTCACAAATGATTTTTTGAAATAACATCAAAATTTCATTAATACTTTGATTCATTCCAAATAATGGAATTTCAGCTATTAACTTTATAGTTGATTCTGAACCAGTTTCTACTTCAAATAGTAATTAGGTTTGAAAAACTATCCTTAATATTGCATATGAATTACCACGAGTAATATCATAAATATTTTCAAATTTAAAACTTTTTTCCTTGAAATCTATATTATCGATTACTGCTAAATTTCATATGTTATTACTTTTAATTAAACATCTTATTGGATTTGATTTTTCTATTCAGATTTTTGTAAATTCTCATTCATGCTGATTCATATAAGATGTTACATGACAAGTTGTTAATATTTGTCAAAAAGAACTTAGTAATTGTGATATATGACTGAGACTAATTAATACTTGAGGTAACCAAACCTTTAAATGAGAAGAAACTAAACATAATAATATTGAAGTAATAAAAGTTACAACTTTTATTATTTTATCAAAATTTGTAGTTTTTGATGATTGTTTATGCTTTTTTCGCTATTTGTTACAGACCCTTATTTTTTTGATATAGTTCATCAATAATTCTAAAAAAAAAACTATTCAAAAATTTAAGAAAGAAATCATAGTATTCTTGAATAGGTTGTGGTGATTCTAAAGTAAATTTCTTTGAATTAACATCTGATCATAAATTCCATAATTTCTAATCAAATTTATAATCAAATTGTTCAAAATCATTTGTTTCATAATTTATTACTACTTTTTCTTTTTTAGAAGTCTCCATAAAAAGAATTTTTATTATAAATAAATTAAGGAGTTCGTTAAGAGAAATTTTTTCTTGACTGGTAATTGGAATAGTAGTATTATTGATGAACAGCTGGTTAAATAACAATGTAAAAGGTAAAAGAGTTTTAAAAGTTTCTTTTAGTATATTTTTTTTAATTTTATCATTGTCTGTTTGTGCAATATTAATTAGCTAATTGCCTAAATATTCAAGTCCTTTGTTATATCATTATCATGTAGTTTTTCAGTAGCACATGTTATTGCACATTTTTCTTGACCAGAATGATGATAAATATGATACCTAAATTTTTGTAATATGAATAATAAATACATAAAGGCTTTTCAATATTATCAAAAGTCTGCTTATATAAAGATAAACATAATCATAATACCTTACATGTATATTATTCAATACATGATATTTAAATGTTTTGTTTATTTAAATTCTAGAAATGTAATGCATACCTCACATTTTGAGAGAAAAAAGTAACATATTTATTATATGAAATACATCTATGCCATTGAGTACTCCTTTATTAAAATGTTTTAATTGCTTATTTTGTGGTTTGTGCAAATACTTGTTATCAAATTGGAAGTGCAAATTACATACTCTTAATTTTGATAAACAATTAACTTCTTTAATCACTTCCCTATCAACTTGCCATGTATTAAATAAATTAAATAATTGTCATTAATTTTTCTGACTCTTCATATCTCTGAATTTTGCCTCTAATGAAATCAATGATTATACATAGTATAAATTTTGTCCACTCTAAATCATTTACAATTTCATTTCGTTCAATTTTTTCATAATTATTTTGAAAGTCTTTGAAGTCTGTAGTATCATTTTGAAAGTTTTCAAAACTTGAATCACTATTATTAATATTATCATCAAATATATTAACAAATAATTCTTCTATTAAAAAAGGTTTATACTCTGATCTATTTTGTTCAAAAAACTTGTCATTATTATCTGTTTCATTATTGTATTTAAAGATAGTATTGCAACATTGTAACGCTTATTTTATTACCTGTTACAACTTAAATTTTAATAATGTTGCAATTCGTTACAACATTATGATGCTTATTTGTCACCTGTTGCAACTAATTGAGGTGTCATCTTTAATTGTATTCTTCTGAAAAGTCATCAAAAAATAAAGAAAATGGTAAAGGTGAAGAAATATTGTATTCTTATTCAGACATTTTGCTAAAAGTTAGGTGAATTAAAAGCTGAGATGTAAGTTACTAACTATTTTTCTTGTTCAAATGAAGACAAAAATGTTTTTTTACTATCTCATAGTTTTATGTTCTCTAGTATCACATTTTATAGTGATACAGCATTTTTATGCATTAACATATATAGCAAGTTTAGTGATTTTCATTCATTATATAGTTGTTTCTAGTAAAAATCCTCTAATAATTAACCAATTTTAATAATAATTAATACATTAGAGCTTTAAAATAAAATGAATATATATGCATATATTATTATGTAAAAAATTTTTATTTAGCTTAAAAACGGTTTTTACAAAAAGTGATCTACATATATATCGATCACTAATTAAAATTACCTATGCAGATTGGTGAAATTAAAGATGGTCACAGCAATTAAAAAAAATAGTGTAATTGAGTTGCAACTTGTGACGCAATTAAATTTCCTTATGGCACAATTAAGTTGCAACTCAATTGAAATTTGAAAATAATTATGGAGACCATCTTTAGGTGAAATGATCACTGATTAATAATTAAAAGTAATAAGTAAATTTTTAATTTTTTTAAAGAACCATTTCTTTTGAATTTATCATTAAACCCAACTAGCTACTATAATATCTGACTAACTTGATGTATTTTCTTTTTTTTCTCAAATAATTACTATTGATCTCTATATTATGCATTTATTTAATTTTACAGCACTACTAACATTAATTCAAAAAATTATGATTGTAACTATTAAATGATTCATCAACTTTAAGAATCTTCCAAACGTTTTTAATTTAAAAGAGAGAAATTTATTTGGTTAGTAACGCAGCAAGTCGATCACTAACCAAAAAGATTTTGGTCTGTGTAACATTATATTTGTCCGGTGATTGGTTAATTCATTCATTCATACTTTATTTAATACATTTTTTTCATTTTGACTTATTCGACGTAAAATATTTTCTCGTGATATTTATCGTGCCGTGCATACTCCGATTTTCAAAATCATGATTAACATTTAATGAACGAATGTTCTATGACTTTGTAAATTTCCGAGTCACATTATATAAATGACACTTTGTGTATCTTTCCTTTTTGTTGTTTGAAAGCATGGCTGATGGCATGCTCCATTATATCAAATATAATTTGTCCTGCTGCTGTATAGTAAATCGTAAATCATCATGGAATTCTTCCACTTTACCAATATATACTTTTACATCCTTCATTAATTATGTACATGCATTTTTCAGCTATTTATTAATGATTAACAGATTAATTGTATTTTCTTGTCCTTCATTAACGCTAATACTAAAGCTAATTTGTACCATATTTATTTAAAAATTAGGAAAAGCAACCAAAAGAATTTAGCCACGCAAAAAATTTTCACGCAGCGCAGCAATTTATGACGAAAGGAGAAATTTAGGTTTCATTGATGTTTGGTACGTGTGGCAATACAAGATTTTAACTGCGAAAGATAATCAACATTTTTTGGCACAGTTAAATGTTATCAACAAATCCAAACATTTCGGCATCGGCTGAATTTTCTTAAGCCACTTACCCAACTTTAAAATAATAATGACCCGGACTTAACCAGTTTAACAAATATTTGTTTTGGAGATCTTTTTTAGTGATGTTAAATAATGATTATCGATATAATATTAATTTTAGAACAATTTCTATAATTGCTTATTAAATTTTACTTATGATCGACTCAAAATGTCTATAAATGTCAATTAAAATTAATATAAATGAAGAAATAGGGGTTTCTTTGAAACACATGATATGATTGTTTTATTGTTTTTACCCCATCAATGATTGTACAATGATTTCATCATTCCATCTTTGACTGGTACTACCATCAGGAACATAAGAAACTTGAATATAATTATCTAAGGAGGAGAGGAGGGTGTCCATCCATTCAACATGATATTTCCAATTTAATTTCCGTAACAACTGGTATTCCATAATTTAAATGAAATCCCCTTATTAATAGAAATCGTTTGATTAATTACCTATCTAACCAAAATCTAAATCAAGGGACAATGTTTCTTAAACCATCTCAAATTTTATTGAATATTTAACCAATCATTTAATGTACCATCAAGCAAATACCGAAACGAGAACGTGAATTAATTAGCACGAAATTTAACAATACTAATTCGTTCACGAACTTACTTGATTTGTGCTAGTAGGAAACTACAAGTGAATAATTCTTTAATCGAAATAAGTTTAGCGGTAATTTGCAACCTTGATGATTTACTATCCATTGTCTATACTTTTCAAGGATTATTATTAATATATTGAGAAATTCCTTGATTAACTATGATTAACCAAACATCATAAGTAAATGTTGACGCTTGAAAATTTTTTTTCTGATTAAATTCTTGGGATGATTTATCACGTGTGATTACTTTCAAAATTATCGTCAAGATGGCAATTTTTTTTTTTAATAAAGGAAAATTTTTATTTTCTGTATGAATCGTCATTTATATAACTATTTGGCCGAACTAGTAACCGTGCATATCATCGTTATGGCATTTATGGATAAATTCTTTGTTCTATTGAACTACTGTAACTAACTGTTAACACATGTTAAAGCATCTGAATTAACCTTCATTAAGAGAATTTTTTAACCTTTCATTTTTAACCATCTGTCGTAAAAACGATATTATGTGATAACCGTTAAACCTTGAAAAATCTGTAATAGTTTATTTCACATAAAGTTTCTTTCCCACTCTAAATCCGGATAAAACGGATGAATTCATTTCCGAATTCATTATTCGATGGTTATTCTACAATGCGATTACCAGTTTAGTAAAAATTTGGTAATAATATGATCATTATCATCAGATTTCTTTTATATTAATGATTTAACTCCATAATGAGAATCACACCAATTGAAAATCCGTATCAGATTACTAATTATGTACTAGACCTTATTTTATTTTATTTATTTTATCCAAATTGTTGAATATTTGAATTGGCGTAACTATAAATATTCCTTGGTGGTTTTTTTTTTTTTTTTTTTAAAAAAAAAAAACTTTTCCTTCCCAACTTTTATTTTTTCCTATATTTATAACTTGTCGTATTTATTTTATTTATTATTTATTATTCTACCCATAATAAATAAATGGATTTGAATAGACTTGCCGCACTTGGTTGTTGTTCTTGGTATTTTAATAGAAAAGCAAAGGTAATTAATATATTGATGCTTTAATTTAATTTAATTACAATAAAATGACATGAATATTTATATTCCTCTCTCCATAGAATACCAAGCGTGACTTGATAATTCCACCAAATCCATCATCACAATCAGATGAAATGACGAAAAAGGAATTAAAAAGTCGTCGTAAACAATTTGGAATATGTTTAAAATGTGGTCAAACTTTGACGGATTATAAATATTGTCAATCATGTTCTTCAAAGGAATTTCAATCAAAATTTAATGAGTGGACAAGTGAAGATCTATGTATAGATAAATTCATTCAAGGTTCTCAATTAAAGTCGACGAATAACCGATCTTATTTATTATGGATACCTTTTGACGATTTAATCGATGTAAAATATTTAGCAAATGGAGGTTTCGCTTCGGTTTATTCGGCCATTTGGGATCATTTTGAGACCAAAGATATGGTTGACGTTGTACTTAAACGTTTACATAATGGTCAGATTTCTAATCCTGAATTTTTAAAAGAACAAGTTTCAATGTTTTTATATGGGTCTATGAATAATAGTAATATCGTTAGATGTTATGGTTTCACAAAACACCCTACCGAAGGTTATATGTTGGTGTTGGAACAAGCTGAGGATGGTGATTTGAGAGGGTTTCTTCGTAGACAATCTTCTACCTTATTATGGTCTGAAAAATTATTCATTCTAAGAGATATTTCGAAATCACTTGAATTACTTCATCAACATGAATTCGTTCATGGTGATTTGCATACCGGTAATATATTAAAGACAAATAATCAAAGAAGGTCATGTCGAATTCTCAAGAATAATAAGAAAAGTTATAATGATAATCTAAAAAATGTAAGGGAAATAATCGTTGATTTACCGTTATGTTTTGATTCAAATATTTCAAACACTTCACCTTTTGGTGTTATACCATACGTCGCCCCTGAAGTGTTTGAGAAAGGTTATTATACAAAACAAACTGATATTTACAGTTTCGCTATAATCATGTGGGAATTAGCTACTTGTCAACAACCTTTCTCTAAATGCTCTAATGAAAAAGATTTGGTTCAAGATATTCAGAATGGTATTCGTCCTGAAATTGATGATCAACAAATTCCTAAATGTGTTTTGGATTTAATGAATAAATGTTGGGATCCTAAACCACTTAATAGACCTTCCGTTAAAACCATTACTAGTATAATCGATGAATGGATTTGGATTCTGTCGGCTTCAAAGATTAGATTATCTAATAAATCTAGGGATATTTTAAATCAATTTTCTCTGGCTAATAATAATACAAAGAAAATAGTTAAACGTCAATCAAAGTTACCCCTTTCGCTTACTCGTTCTTCTACTCTGCTTAGGAACAATACTTACTATAGCAAGTCTTTGAGTGATTATGTAACTATTATGGGTGTTGAAAAATCTGCGAATGCTGCTTCTTTTGCTGCTTCTACCAGTTCAGTTAACTTTGGTAAATATCAAAATTATTATTTGAATGCGTTTTAAGGAGAATACTTTTATTAACATGCATTCTAATTTACAGATACAGATGACGAGGACTCTTAATAATTAGAATTTATCTGATTATACAATTCTGGCTCGAATCCTTTTGATAAGTATTTGGTCACAAACAACATCCTATATCTGTTAAAAAAGACAAAAAAAAAAAAAACCTCCTCCCACTTTTTCCTGATTAGAACAATTTTATTACATATCTTATTTCGTTGGAAGGGTTTTTTATTTTTGGACTTTTTTACATCATAGAAAAAGATTTCGCGATTCAATTCATGATTTCTTTGATTATATAGAACAAAAACCTTTCAATTTACTTTTTTTATTTTTTTTTTTATTTAAAAAAAAGTTTTTTTTGTATTTATATCTTTCATTGATTCTTATTTTTATCGTGTATTAATTAATATTATATTATGCTAACTCTTAATATTAAAAATAAAATATATGTATTTGTACACAAGATGTATAAATGTCATATTACAATGATTTTCTTCGCTTTTGCTTAGTAAAAACGATGGCCAATGCTTCAGTAACTTCAAGTTAATAAGTTTATATTAGTAAAATATTATCTTAAACATCTTTTTATAAAAAAATAAAAATAAAAAATTAATAATTTGCAAAATCTTACATTATGAATTATTACAATCTTGATCTGAATAATAAGATAGTAATGAATAGTTAACAAACTAAACAAAAAAAGATTAAAAAAATTATTTTGGCATTTTATTTGTTTAATATTTGCAAATATATTAATTATTGCTTATAAATTTTTTAGCAAATCAGTATTTTTTTTTATTGAAATATTAGAGAATATATTTATAGGAATTAGTTTTAATAAAGCTTAATCTTCTAATCTCTTTATAATATATTCTAATTTAGGTTTCAGTTGATCTTAAAAATTAATTATAATCCACTTATTCAAATGCTATTATTTTAATATTATAGACCATTAACTATTGATTCATCTTAAGTTAGATATTAATTAGACCTTTAAACTACTATAAAAATTGGATAAAAGAATCATTTAAGTTATAGTAATTATCAATTACTATTCTTATCTAACTGTATAGTCATATTTTATTATAGAATTTTAATCTACTAATGGCTATTAAGTTCTAATAGAACTAAATTTAAAATTCAGTATTTAATTAACTATAATATTTCATATAACTTATTAAATCAGATAATTATTATATTTATATTATTAAATATATTTAAAAATTAAACATAACTTCTTGTAAAAAATATCTAATTTACTAATTATTAATTAATCACTTTTTTACAAGATAAAGACTTCTACTATTTGAAAAATAAATAGTATTTATTATAAATCAATCATAAAGATCAAATTTCTATTGATCTCTAATTTATTTATATGTATTTATTCTTCAATATTAGTATTTAGATATAATTAACATTAATTGATAGATTAATTAATCAGTTTCTAACATATATTAATATATACATTTATATATTTAACTACAAATAAAATTTATATTATTTTATAACTTAGCTATAACTATAGCTATTATAGTATAATTTATAATAGAAATTTAGTTATTATTAATTGAACTAGAAATATTAACCTCATAAATCAGTATATTAAAATTAAAACTTTTAATTAACTTTTTTAAAAAAAATATATATTATAATATTTTATAAAATATTAAAATATCATTAAAATATTATTTATAAAATTAGAATTTATTTATTATTTTAATTAGCAAAATTATTTTTATACATATTAAAAGTAAAAATATATGTACAGTCAACTCTTGATATAGCGAACTCTTGATATAACGAATTTTTGAACAAATATAATAAAAATACTCTTGTTAT